TTTTATTTTGAAGAGCATGATCAACAACAACTAGAGTGATAATGAGTGTTGTGACAGCCCTGTTATAGGGTCAGTTGCATACAATAAACACTTTCTCATCGTCTCCGTCTCCTGCCGGCAGTCCAGCCGTGACAAACCAAACAAGTGCTGCTTTTCGATGGAAAGGGGGGGGGGAGATTCAGTTATAATTGTTGTTGAGATGCAGTGTTTGTGAGGACGTCTGTATCTCGCAACGTCCTCACATGATCCCGGAAAATAACAAGTACGGTAAGGACATCGATGTTTACGATGTCCTTCTTATTCCAGGGCTTATCTTGTCCACGAGTTGGCACCCACCCGCCCCACCCATTGTTGTTTTCAGGACCGCTATGGGGGAAGCGGGCGAGCTGTGCGAAATGGCGAGGAGCTGCGAACTGCCTCGAGTTGCAGAGTCTATCAGAGCTTCTCTTAATAGTCATCGTTCGAAAGCAACATTTGAGGACTACTCACTCTCATGTTCCAGATTCGTGCAGTGGTGGGGAAAGGAACGTGTCAAGGATATCCCGATCGCAAAGGCAAGAAACCTTTTTCTTGCGCACTGTATCGGCACCAAACAACATAGCTCCTTGCCCAGCATAGCAGCGGCTCTGAATTTCCTGACAAAGAAATAGAAAGGTCGCTGTTGGATAGTGCCAGCAGAAATAGAGACCCAGTTAGTCATAGGAATAAGATTACAACGGACGACTACATCAAAGTGGTGCACTTAGGCTTTGTATCTGAAGACCAAAAAGTTTTCTCTGCTGTCACTGTGGCTATTTTGATGTTTAGAGGGTTTCTCAGAATCAACGATGCAAGAAACCTCGATATAGCGGACCTCACCATCAATAATTGTACTTCAGTATTTATAAAATCCAAAACTGATCAAGTCAAAAGGGGAGCCATTGCGTTGTTTACTGTAGACCCAGAGTCAGAGGAACATCGGGTCATACAGAAACAGATAAATAGCGTCAAAAAAGGCAGTAATGGGCTTTATTTTCCATCAAAGTCCACTAAACAACCCCTCAGCATATCAATTATTTCTAAAAGGTTGCAGCAAATATTTCTCATTGACGGGCGTAAACCACAAAAACTATACCACTCACAGCTTTCGAGGGGGTGCCGCGACGGTTGCACTAGAGCAAGGGTTTGATACGACGCAAGTAATGAAAATGGGAAGATGGAGGTCCCTCAAAGCTTTTCAGGCCTATATTCAACCAACGGCTGTCAGCCTGAGACTATCCAATCCAGAAAATCCACCGGTGTAGGAGAACGGGGAATACTGTTCTTATGTACATAGATAACCGCCCATACTTCGATGTTACACTTACTTATGCAGTATTAATACGTATCGATGTCTTCCATGCTATGGTGCTCATTAATTCGTTAGTTGTTCTTACATGTAAACACTATGCCATGCTAACGGATCTCTTATTAACCATCTCGTGAATTGTAATTCATTTACAGTTATTCATGATATCGAGTGCCAGAGAGGAGAGCACATTTGCACATATATACTTGCCGTTATTGCCGCAGCATACTCGTGCAACGATAAAACCTTACATACCTCACGAAATCGACTTCCACGGAATCGAATAGCTATTTGCCGTAGTTGCGCAGCAACGGAGGTATAAACGCATTTCGAACTCTTTGCGCAACGTCCTCCGACTGTGAGTTCGAGTGGATCAAACTGGGTAGAGAGTCTTGCCGAGTTTTTTGTAGAATTTGCAGGTTTTGATTCTTGATGCCTGAGCATGACGCAACAACACTCTCGAGGCTTTCCTGCAAGACGTGCGCGAAGGCGTCTGCTCTTCCCTGGGTTCAATTACGATGCCAGTTTCACAGCAGATCTTCGGGCCATCATCTTCTACCAGTACACCCGCAGCACTGGAGCGACGACAGCCGTCCACATTATCAACAGTGCACCACTATCATTAGTACCGTCTACCGGGTCCGCTTGCTTTGCGAAAGAAGAACGATCTCCGAAGACAGGCCACGAGACGCTACTGCAAAGTGGAAGACCCCGCCATTTTCAAAAATGTCAGCAAGAGGTTACCACTTGCAGTCTTGCGACAAGATTTGGCTGTACCTGACTGCCGAACATAAAACGCTTAAAGACACATGGTACGCTCAAACACATTGAGGGTGTATGAGACTACCAGCCCCCCAGCTGTCGATGTGTCGTGGTCCCCCCCCCCAAAAACTGCACAGGGTCAGAGTACAGGGCCGTGGGAATTTCGTAATTCCTTGCTACACCGCCCTCACGTTTATGCTAACACCATCCGCGCGGCGCGGTCGCATGCAGCTCTCCTAGCTTTTTGCCCAGTCCTGTAATTGCGCTTTGGAACACAAGTACAACGCAATTTCTTTATGCGAATAACATTTTAGGTGCTGCAAAATAATAGCCGAAGATGATGACAAGGACTAGAACTCAAGAGCAACTGTGCTGCTTCTGCAACAGCCCTCGCAGGCCGCGCATTCCCACAAAACATCAAAATAAAGACGGCCTAAGCGTCCCATTCGTTAGTTTGAAGTATTTCTATAGAATTAGAGCCGGATTCGAGCCGATCGCAGAAATGCGATTAATTTATTGCGCTTCCTCAGTTTTTTCAATTTTGTTTTATTTGCATCTACATTCGTTGTTGTTCATTTCTAGCCTTTGTCATCTTCATCACCTCTATTCAAACTTTGAAACATGAGCAATACCTCAAATGTTAGGAAATTGCGTTTTGCCTGTATTGTCATGTTTTTATTGTCATGTTGTCCGTTTTTATTGTCATGTTCTGTGGGATTGCGCGGCCTCTGAGGGATATTGCAGAAGCAGCCACAGTTGCTTTTTGAGTTCTAACCCTTGTCATCATCTTCGGTTCTTATTCAGCACCTAAAATGTTATCCGCATCAAGAAATTGCATTGTACTTGCATTCCAAAGCGAAATCACAGGACTTGGCAAAAAGCCAGAGAGCTGCCGCGACCGCGCCGTGACGGTGTTTAGTAAAACGTGGGTTTGCAAAAACGGGCGGCGTAGCAAGCCCGTACTCTGACTCCGCGCAGTTTTGGGCAAGGGGACCACGACACATCGACAGCTGGGGGGCTGATAGTCTCATACATCTTCAATGTGTTCGAGCGTACCATGTGTCTTTAAAGACCTCGGCCATCGAAAAGTCTGGATGGATCACTCATACCATAACGGATGGCTCGGCGTGCACCTGGGTACCCCTTTGTCAGTCTTGCCTTCTCCCTCATCTGAAGGATTTTCTGACTGATTACGGGAGATGAGAGGTGAGTTCTCTATGATTCCAATTCACACACTACTGTGTGATCTCTCATCCACAAGGCTATCAACATGCCAAACTGGTCATGCACTCCAAGAAGGTTCTCCTGTGCTGCTTCTGGGGTGCGAGAAGAATGCTGCGCAACGAGTTGCCCTTGCAAGAAGACGTGGTCATCGCTACTATTCGTGTCGCTCAGCTCCAGGAACCTTTGAAACTGTTGGGGAAAAATGACCGAGATCAGTTTTAGGGCACCTCGTTCATAACGACGTCAGACCTCATAGTGCTTTGGAGACCTAGCAAAAATTGTAGATGTAATTCTGGGGTGCCATGACCCAACTCATCCTCCATATTTACCTGGCACGCCCCTACAATCACCGCCTGTTCCAACCAACCTTAAAGAATGTCGAAAGAGGCCAACCTTCAGAAATGTCGACCGAAGAGGTCCCCTGATTCTTGATTTGGCCCCGAAACAAGTTGATTAGTTGCATCCCTTTATGTGATTCGAAAGTAGTTTCCATTTATTGCTAGAAGAGAAGTTCGAATCTTCTGAGGGATTCGCGATACCCAGGAAAGTTAGAAAGATGCTCCGAAGGCTTTCTTTTGAACGTACCAGACCAGAAGTTCATAGCTCACGAATCGTTTTGAAGCTAGTATCTGACATAAAATACTTCCCAGATATATTGTATGAACTGCGAATAACGAACGAAACTGAACTAATGGAGGCGATGCAGTGACCGATTCGTCAGAGATTCTTGTTCTAGGCCTTATAGTACCCTTGTAAGGACTGACGCTGGTACCTAACAGGAATACCACATGGAAAAGCGAGCAGGTGGGCTTGAAGGGGGAGGCTTCCTGCACTTTTACCGTTTCTCATCGTCGTATTCATCGCTCCATCAGTGTTGACAGGTATTCTTTACAAGAACTTTCTACAAAATTCGACTGGTACTACGAATTCAAGATTTGAAAAGCTCTATTTGATGGCTCGACACGACAATGAGTGGCGAAAGTGCGAAAGCTCCCATCCCACGACCTGAATGGCGCCCAGGAAGGCAACGGTGTGGTTCTACCATTAACTATTTACTGGTACAAACATGAATTAAGAGGTCCATGTGATGAGAAATCGCTGTTGCATGTGGACGCGCTCCTAGCGAAGAACGTGACCGTCCTGTCTGACTACGTTCGTTCGGCATTAAATTAGCGAGAGCAGGAGGCGACAACGGCATACCTGCACTGCTGGATTACGTCACGCGGGTAGAAGCGCCATATGACGCTAAGGTGAAGTTTTTAGGGTCAGAAGGTAAGCAGAAACGATAGTCACCCGGGTGTGAGAATTCTCGCACAAGCTTTATACGCACATTTTCCTCCAAAAGACGATGTCTTGGGGATGAGGAGAGCGGACAGCAGGAGTGTGAGGTTCGCGCGGGACAGTCGCCTGAAAAGACATGCCGCACTATCGCGTGATCCGCTGAACCATGTTAACACCTCGAGGAATTCATGAAAACCTTACACTCAAGCTTTTTACTAATGTTTTGACGAAGTGATATAGCTATTTTTCATTGTTGAGCATTTTTATTCCCTTCATTTCCTATAACTGAATCTGAAATCTTCAAAGAAAGACATCAATTGCTGCTAGGATATATGAGGAATGTAAATTATGTATTGTTCGAAGGAAAGATACAGATATTAAGTGCAGTTATGATGCCAATGAGATATTACACCCGAGGACAGGGTAATCGACACATTCGTTCCTCGACTTCTTTCTCACGACACTCAGCTTCTTCCCAGTCACCGGTTCGACCTTTCTGGACGCGACGCCTCCGCACTTGGACACCTTCGCCGCAGCTGACCGAACAACGTGACCATCTCGACCATGTGCCTACTCGGCAATCAGATGACGCTGAAATATTTTTCTTGAAGGATCTTTAGGTTTAGATCACCCGGCTCCAGGGAAATATTCCGCAAACTCACGGCAAGGTCGCAGCTCACATCTGAGCTCTTGAATCAAGTGTTCTGGACACGGCGTGCCTCCGTTTCGTGGAAAAACCTGGAAGTCACGTTTCGTAATCAGTAGTGTCAGCGCTTTGTCTTTGTCGAACGACGCACTTTTATTTGTCTAGTCCGAGTTCGTTTCCCTCGTCCACAGGTAACAGAGCAGTTTCCCCATGGAGTCCATTCGTTCATCTCGCACGGGATAGGTGCTCCTTGAAGCCAATATGATGATTTCACAACAGTTGCATAGTCATTCTTTTATCACTACTGAACTGCTTGCACTCCACTGAACGTGCTGATAGAGAGTACTTATATTCCTTCATATGAGAACTCACCGCCGTCGTTGACGTCTGCAATTCCGAATTCCTCGATAAGCTGATGATTCGGTACTGGAAATACACAGTTATTTGGACGTATCATTCCCATACGCCCACAAAAAGAATCCTTGTTAAGAAAGTAAAAAAGAAATCATAGTACATGACTGTGTGATGAGTCAACTCGAGTCCCACGAAATGAGAAGTTTTAGCGATTTTTTTACAAACTTGTGAAATGAGGGACCCCTGTTCCACGGGCTCTCAATGTAGCAGGTTAGTCAGAATGGCCAGAAAAGTTACGTCGAGGCCAGAAGAAGGTAAGAACGATTGGCCAGATGTGGACTGTAATGATTCCTTTAGCCTTGCGCGACCCTTTCAGAATCACTCGATGGAAATTTTCAGGATGAAGGTAGAAGGTATGGATTTCATTAAACACGGAGATTTTGAGGTATGTTGGAGAAAACCAAAGTAGTAAAATGAAGCCTAAAGGCAAAAAGCCCTGAAGTTTCTCTCTTCTTCAGTCCTTTCTTCAGCGGATCTTTCACGAAGCACGTTCTCGTAGAATCTGACGAAGTTGTATGAAAAAAGCACTAGAACGTGCTGACCGTAAAACAACTTAATTTAAGTCTTTTGCTTTCTTCTAGAAGTTCTGAAGCCTTCTTCTTCTAAGCAATCGGAACGCCATCACTGATGAAACACTGAGTCAGTTGGAAACCGAGGAAAATAAAATACTGGAAAAAGAAAACGCTCCAAAGCACAAATGGTCCGTTTCGCCCGTTACCACAGACGAACCATCATTGTCTCGCCAACCCACAAGCTCATCAGTGCGGTGCGCTCGATGATACAAGGACACAGACGTTTATAGGGAGAAAGTTGAGAGTAAGGACTTGGGAGAAACGCAAAAATGAGAGATGTTGTGAGATGGGTGCACATGAGAAATTCATGCAATAAAGAGAGAGTAACGGGAATGGTACAGAAAAAGTAAACAACATTACGCGAAGTGTGTAAAAGTAACGAAATTTGAAAGACTCAATAGACTAAACCAGCTGAGAAAATGTTGGATATAAGACACTGTTGAAACGAATTACAAAAGGAGCAGAATTGGTAAAAGGAGGGTTGGTGGGGGAACACCGCTGCTATTGAGAATACTTCCATGCAGAATATCTATTTTCTGTAGTTACTTGAGTGTTTGTAACTCACAAATTTATTTCTGGAGAACATTTCACTATGCTAGTAAGAATTAAGTATTCTTCGTAGCCATTTCCCATAAGTGTCGTGACCATATCCGTTATTTTGCCTACGAATACATCGAAGAAAGAACAGGTGTTTTTTAACCTCAATGTTTCTGTGCATATAACTGAAACCTTGTTAATAAGGGAATTATTTGTGTCACTATACGGAAATCTAGTTTGGGACCATGCACGGAGGAAGCTCAAGATGTCACGTAACCTGTACATAGGGCTATGTTTGGGTATCGGCCGAGGCACATTGTTCAGCCAGTAACTCAGCAACCATGCCACATCATATACGCTCCATTTTCCGGAGACGTGGAGGGGGCATGGTTGCGCAGATCACTCGAGCTGCCACAGCGTATAACCACATAGCACAATACATGCGTAGCACAATACATGGTGACAGTTGCCTGAGATGTATCCATCTCAGGCAACTGTCACCATGTATTGTGCTGGGCAAAGACGTGGTAGCAACTGCTCCAAAACCGTGATACCAAAAGCACATCAACCGCCACTCTGAAGGAGTTCACAGTCCCACTACCTCCTAGATATGGAGCATGACCATATAGCGATTAACGGTGAAAAACAGCTGCAAACAAAATAAAATCCAGTAACAGCAATATGCTTTCTGAAGTTTTCGCTTCTCGTGGATATGCACTAGTGTCTCTGCGGATCTGGGGGCAGTGGGATGCATGTTGCTTCCAACTGCAGAGATTTATCTACAACCTTTCCAGAATTTTATCGAAAATCGAAAATCAAAATCAGGGTGAAAAGGCACCTACCTGACGATTTTTCATAACCTTCAAAACATACTCGTTTGCACTCATCTTCGGTATCAAACTGGTTACGATTTCCCTTAAAGAGCACTGTAAATAGATAGATAACGAGGAGGGTGGAGGGAGAACTGACCTTACATCCCGTGAAAATGAAACGTTCACACGTCTTTTTTTCATGGTTGTACCAGTATCGCGGGAAAGTACCACCACACTGGCCTTCCTCTTTCGGTTCTTGACAGATTTCTGGAGAAAGCTGTATTGAATAACCACGGTAAACTTTCGATTAGAGTACTTGCCACAATGAAATATCAACTCAACTTTTGTCCATCATTTTAGGAATTGTAATTGCATGCCGCCGACAGTGTCGGCTCTTTGAACAATTTCACCCCAGAGTTCAGACTTCAAGCCCTTCTAATGATACGCCTGGAGTAAAAGAGGAACGTGAAAAAGAGAATAGCTGCGGGTACTAAAGGGTCGTTCTCTGGAGCTAGTACTGTGTACTGTGACATCCGCATATCTCGTGAGAAGGTTTGAAGATGCAGAAATCACTCCCAGATTTGCTTTCCACGAATTACATTCGAGATGCTTCCCGAATGTAATTTGTGGAAAGCAAACCTGGGAGGGAACTCCACCGTTGCAGGTCCCAATTCTGGATGAGAAAGGAGGAGGGTGTGTGCGAAGGGCTAGCAACCCTTCCACTGTAAGAAAAGACACCTGCTAAAGATGCGGCGAATGAGGATGAAGCTAATAAAGCTGTTGAATCGAGAAAATCGGATTCCAGCCTCGTGACGGATGCCCTGATTCTGAGTTTGGTTTTCTCATCCAAAATCAAAACTTTTGTTGTACCTGGAATGTGCGCACCTTATATCGAACTGGCAACCTGGCACATTTCTTCGAGAATTCGGGAAGTATCAACTGGATATTCCCGGAATAAATGAGGTACGATGGCTGAACAGTGGTCGCATCGCGAGTGACAACAGAACAGCTTGCCATTCCAGTGATGGAGAAAAGCACGAAAAAGAAGTTGGATGCGTTCAAGCAGAAGAGGCGCCAACGCCCTGGTCGGATGGAAGCCAGCAAACGAGAGAAAAATTACAGCACGTTCAAGACACTATTGATGAGGTACCTCGCAGAGACCTTATGATAGTACTGGACGATTTCAATGCTCAGTTGGTCAGTGAACGACAGGTATTCGAGCGAACGATGATTAGACCGTATGCATCCTCCATTTTAGCGACAACGGCGGACGTTTGGCATCTTTCTGCTACCACTGCAGCTCTGTTTCGGAGACCCCTACTCCCAACACAGAGAGGTTCACAAGAAAAGGTGGAGCTCTCATCATTTAATGACGTTTAACGAGATCATATATGTATGAGCCAACTAATGCGGCAGAGAAAGACTGTCACCGCTCGGGTCTTTTAAGTGGAAAGACTGAAGAATCCTTCAGTTACTGCAGCATTCAAAGTTAACGGCGGAACAGTTTCGCCCCGTCAGAACATCTGGTTGGCACTGAGGAAGAATGGAAAGCTGTCGGAGAAAAACGAATTTATGGAATGTGCGGAGGCAGTAGTTGGTAGAAGATGAGGGAAGCGGAAGGAGCAATTCACTCAAGACAGGACGTGGCAGAAAACAGACAAGAGGAAGCGTGCAAAGCTGCAAAAAGATGAGCCAAGACTCTCCACGAACTACAGCAGGAAGTACGCTAAGCTGGACCGCTTGGTGAAAAAGTCCCGTCGCCGCTACAAGAGGGAGTGGCTGACGCGCAAAGGTGCTGAAGCCCAGCGTGTAGCGGATGGTGGAGACTCAAGAACTCTCTATCAAACACGCCTCAAGAACTCTCTATCAAACACGCCCATCAAAGATAGCAATGGCAGATTGCTTCTGAGCGATGAGGAGCAAACGAAAGATGGCTCAAACACTTTCGCGATGTCATCAACCAGCCGAGGCCAATGGAAACAGATTGTTCTGGAGAGATGGAGGGCACTGATGAGCTTGACGGTGTCGTTTTCATAACAGTGGAAGTAACGGAACGAGCAATCAAATGCCTCAGAAACAAGAAAGCATCTGGTCTTGACGAAATTACACCGGAATTGATAAAAGTAGGGGGAAGACGAAACGTGCTGACGAGACTGTTCGATAAATGCTGGAGTTGTAAAGAAGAGTCGGAGGACTGGAGCAAAGCAGTCGTCATAAACTTGCTCAAAAAAGGAAACCTGACAGAATGCGGCAATTAGAGGGGAATCTCGCCATTGTCTTTGCCTGGAAAGGTATTTTGTACGGTACTGCTGCAGCGACTGAGCGGAGCCATCGACTAGCTACTGAGAGAGGAGCAAGACGGATTCAGGAGCGGAAGGTCGTGTTGCGAACAGATTTCCACTTTGCGCAACATAATCGGACAGCGTGTAGAATGCGATCATCGTCCCTTCATGAGTTTCAACTTCGGCTTCAGAAAATCATTCGATGGTATATATACATCGCGAATAGCTTTGAGCAATCCCCAAGTTATACGCTGTACCTTCACCGTACATCAGCATCTTCAGGAATTTGTATCGCCATTCTTCATGCTGTGTTGGGGCAAATCGGCTACACATATACTTTGAAATCTCCACTGAGTTGCGACAGAGATGCATTCTGTCTCCGATCCTGTTCAATGTCTGCCTCGACTTTGTTATGAGGAAAGCGATGGAGAGCGCAGAAGCGGGCATCGATTGGCCTGTTCAAGGACGTACAGATTTTGACTTTGCGGACGATTGCGCTGATTGTCAAGGACAACGATAGGAGGCTTCAAGAGAGCCGTAAGAGCATCAGTAAGGAAAAGAGCTTGCCAGGCCAGCGAATAAGTGCTGAGAAGTCGAAGGTCGTGAACGTAGGCCTCCTCAACGAGCAGGCGGATGTAAACGTTGACACTACTTCGCCACAGAATGTCGACATGTTCACTCATCTCGGTATTGCGGTCACGCACAATAGGGATGCTAAAACGGATGTCCGTGCCCGGGTTGCAAAAGCAGCTGCTGTGTTCAAATGACTTCTATCGATATGGAAAACGTCTTCTATCTCGCGTTTTTTTCAAATAAAGCTGTAATCGTCCATGGCTACTCCTACAGCACTTTATGCAAGTGAAACATAGAAAGAGCCTGCCAAGTTTAGCCAATAATGTGAAGGACTCCCACTAGCGATACCCACGTCGAATCATGAAGATACGACACAAGGACCATGTCACGAATGAAGAAGTTCTACGACGGTGTGGTGTGAACGGTCTTCGCATGATTGTGGCACTCCGAAGGCTTCAACTGGCTGGCCACATACTACGCATGCTACAGCGTCGAATTTCACGAGTGGCCATGTTCTGGATTCCTCCAGGAGCCGAGCGAGCATGAGGCCGTCCCAGAAACACTGGAGACGTACATAAGAAAATAATGGCGAATCATGGATGCTTCCACGGACCCGGCTCAAGAAAGCGCGAAAGACCAGAAACACTGGAAAGAATTCGTCGCCAACGTGCTCAACAGCAGCCAAGTTTGAGCAAGCTTGGGAGTGATGTCTCGAGCAAGATGCCATCTAGACGTACTCTGCATTCCTCATCACTGCGGACGGGGGAGGCGTGAGCAGCACGGTTTGAGTCCGCGCTTGGATCACTTACTCTACCAGCGATCGGGCAGAAATCAATATAGGAAGAAAACAGCCAAGGAAAAGGAAACGCCGCACGTGAGAACCGCTGATTGCGACTCGACAATTGCAGTGAGTAGCCATGCCGCGTCTCCACTGCTCACGTGTCTGCTCTCTTGCTCTTCGCTCTCACGCTTGAAGGCAGCGCCCGCATTCAAATTGATGAGTTATTGGGCTCAGACAGTGACAACAAGGTAGCTAGTAGTTCATTACCGAAGAAAAATGCGGAAAAATCATTGGATATGCTCTATATAGGACCTCACGCCGAGCTGAGGTTGTACCTGATTAAGGCGAAGAGAAGCCGCAGCCGTACGAGTTCTCACTTGCTGGTGTCAGCTATGCTCCCTCATCACCTCACTCTCACCATTTGAAGCGGAGAGAGTAGGTTGCGGAACAACTGCACCATCAGGCACCATAAAAAATGAAGTTCGGGGTAGTGGTGGGCGGGGTGGCCGACTATTCACGAGCGGGCGCCGCTACTCTCTTGCTTTTTTGAGTTGCGAAACTAGTACGTTCGCCATCCTCATACGGTGAGCTACGATATCCAAAGAGGGCGTGGAAACAGCAAGTGAGCGCGAGCGCTGCCTTTAATTTCCCTTGATTTCCTGTCGCCTGTATGATCTCCATATCTTCAGCTCTCTTGCTTCATTACACCTTAGAGGCAGTTGGAACAATAAATTCTGAGACGAGTGGATGAGTACGCCTGGCGGGAAGGGATTCCGCGCCTCTGAGCAGACGCTGCGTAGCAACTTTTTCGAGGAAGGTAGCCTTATAAAGCCTTGAGGCTGCAACATACGGACCCGGACGCCCAGGGTGCCCAGAAATAGACGACCGTACCTGATGCTCGTATTTCTTCATTTGCTAAGTAAAATATCAACAAAGGGATTTGCATGAAGCGGCTGCGGTGCTGCACAGAATATATTAGGTTGGTCGAAAAGTCCTGCGACACTTTGACGCATTTTTGGGTCTAAATTTTTAGTCACTAAAAGACATCACCAATCTACAAGGTAATCACCACTAAGGACTAGGACTAGTGCCCTTCTTTTGCACAGCTTCCCTTTCCATTCTTATAGAACTACGGCAACTATGATAAGAAGAAGAGGTGGACCTCATTTTTGAGTGGACGTCGATTTTCGGAATTTTTGCCTTCTTAAGGATGCGGTAGGGATCAAAAAGGTAGTAGTTAGAGACTGCTAACTTTGATGAATAGCTGGGTATGGTTGCATTCTCAGATCAAGATCCACGATCTTTTGGTGTGGCCTGATCCTAACATGCGCTCCTCGCATTGCCGAGCGGTAGAGAAAAATTGAGTATTTTTGAAGAATTCAAGCGTGACGTCATCCATGTTGTGAGGTTGGTTAGAGTGGACTGTAGTCCTTACCCGTTATGCTAGTATCCAGAGATATCGCTTTAAAGTCCCACCAATAACCTACTGAATCTTTATTCATGCACATCTGCTGTTTGGCTGTGCAATCTACTTTTCTCTCTGAGAGATCCTGCGAGGAACATGTGCAAGATGTACGAAAGACCCACCCACTCTCCACCAACCACAAGATCTCACAAATGTTCCTCCAGTGTGTACAAGGAAAAAAACTCAGTCACGGTCATTCGGGATGACTTGTCAGAGGTTCAACTCATGAGACTCCTTCATAAAAAATTTTTCCAATAACCGAGAGTGCGGAGAAGCATGGCAGTTGTCGGTTAGGTGGAGCCTAGAGAGGTTGCCAACTTGACTGGTGGTTACGTTTGGCTGCGCTCAAGAAGCTTAAGTAAAGGGCCGTCATTCTGTGCTGGTGGCCGACCCATACATTGCCTACTTCCGAGTTGAATAAGTCCAGCCTGGAAGCGCTGATGCAAAAGGATTTTCTGCTGTGGCAAGCGATATCCTTCCTCAAACAACGTAAGTGTCAGCTTCCTCGACTACGGCGGGGTGGCCCTAGAGGAACTCATAATATGGGACAGGTCCAAAAGTACCTCGACCTCTGGAGAACTTTTAGCTTTGAAAACTTCCTCAAAGCCATGATATGCCCATGTGCAGAAACCTCAGAGGACACTCTCCATAATCAGGGATAAAAACATCCAAAATGATTTTGGTCTTTTTCCAGAACAATTTAATCAAAGTGTCGCAGGACTTTTCGACACACCTAATATGTGATGAGTACATACGTGTGCCAATACATAGCGCGAAGGTTACTGGCAGGATGCCTATAAGATTGCCTATTGAGTCATTAAGGACGAAGGAAAGTTTCCCTCCGCAGCTTTTTGACCGTTTCACATCGCTTCTTCGCTATTTTCCCCACTATATAGCACCCTGCTAGCATTTTAGACCGTTTACCAAATTATCGTGCCACATGACTTCAAACAGAAGTGTGAAAAAAGAAGGCTCATAAGGAGCATTCTGGTTTTTCTGCTTGTTTCGCTGTCAATAAGCCAACTGTCTGTCAATAACCAACTGGAGCTTACTTCGCTCTTAGACCGCACCACCTAGAGCACAGAGAAGGTGTTGTGATGGCAACTGTGCTTAACATGTGAGTCCTCGGATCGAATCCCGGATCGGCTCCCACCAAATCGACCAAGCCCTCCATCCCCTCAAGGCGATTTAGTTAGTACTAACCTCGTGTGAGGATGAGAACACTGAAGTGCACATCGGCGAACGCGTAAATCGCTGCATAGACAATATAGTATCCAAAAGTCTACATTTTGAAGGGGTATCGAAATTCGCGACGCATTGCAACAAAAACGTTGATCAACGTTGAAAGCTCCGTCTTCCCGCCTATGTAGGACTTGCAATCGCAGAATGTGCCTTTGAAGCGCGTGGCTCTTTAGCGACCATACCGTGCCAGCTTCACCCAGAAAAAGAAGGCGTGTGAATGCTGTTAGTTTAAGTCTCTTCAAGTTTCCCCGCAAAAGCGACCTTTCAAACGGTTCATGGGAAGGAACTCTGGAAAATTGATTGAAGTTAATTTTCAGTTAATCTTGGCTAAGTAACGATGTATCGTTGTCAGACCACTTATTCAAAAAAAAACCATAAACGCTTAAGTACTCACCTTCCGAATTCTGCTCGATGAAACGTCGGCACGACTGCAAGATGCAAGAGTCTTTTTCTTGCAGGGAAATGTGTGAGCATCGCTAAAGATCTATCATTTATGGCAATTCCTACATGTACACATGTACAGAGGGGGGGGGCAAAAAAGACACTTTTTTTCTCGAACTTCAGTTCGATATGAGTTACACTTTATCAAAATCTGTATGGACGTTTCCACCACCATATTCAACAACACATTACTCTATCATGACACTCCGCCACAGCCTTCTGGACGAGCGCCATCGAGAGATTCTGCCACGCGACCGTGAGTGGGTGCCTCAGTTCAGCGAGATCATTGATTTCTCCGCCACTGTAGACCACCCTGTTGAGCTCCGCCTAAACCCGGTACTCCAGCGGTTTGAGTCAAGTGACACGCTTGCATACTCCGTCTTTTTCAAGTACTCAGTGCCCTACCATTCCAAGTAGGCGAGAGTTTTTCTTACCCCTGCGATTCCTTGCGGTGACACCCAATCCTGTAGCAGTACGATGTCTTCAAGATGGTACAGACGACGAAATGAAGGCAGAATATCCTCCTCGATTTCGATGCAACCGTGAGCTTTCACTTTTAGTCCGGGGTCCACGAAGAACATATCCGTCTTCCCATTCCAGAACCTTCCGGTCCATACTATCAACCCGCGTTCTGGACCGTAGCAAAGTTGTCGGAGAAGCTTGATGTTAGAGGTCTCACAGATCGAGAGTGCCCGTCTTCAGGTAGCTGTCAACTCCACATAATAAGACTCGCAGCTGTTTGGAGGTGACTGAATCCCATAGTATTTCTCCAGTCAGGCTGCGATTGGAGATGGCTTCCTATTCGGTGTACATGAAGCTAATGGGCGAGAGCCTGCAAATGCTTATCAAGAGCATATCGAGGTATCTTCCGCCCTGGTGCTCGTATCCAGGTATTCTGTCTGGGCTGCGGAAACTTTACTGATATGTCACTCGGCCAAAGTGCCTTTTTTGCCCACCCTCCGCCCCCTACAATTGTATGATGCATGCGTATGGTTCATGTAGTCCTTTCTAAGAAAGGCAAGATTGCCGAAAGGCAAGATTGCCACTATCCCACTATTACACTATCCCACTATTACTACTCTAATCTTACGAAACAATGCCAACATTATACTATGAGCCGACTTTTTTCTAGAGAACAGATTTGGCCGATTCGCCTACAGGGATAGTCGACCCTATGAACACAAATATCACATTTGCTTAGCCTGAAAATGCCTGGCGCCCTTGCTACAGGCGCCAGCGTCAAAGTGTTCTAAATCACCGAATTCCCTGAACATCATTCCCTTTGAGTAGTATAACCTTCTGAATATGAATATCTCATGAATGTCATACCCGCTTGGCCCATAACCGTTCTACAGGCGCCGGCGCCAAGATGCTCTCGGCAATCACAATCAATGAAAACTTGCATGCGGGATTATTGACATTATTCATTCCTGACGTCGGCCCTAATGGAGCACGCTATTATCATCTGCACCCTGTTGAGACTGAGCCTGACGGGTATTTCCAGGCTCAGCCTCGAAAGAGCGTATCCCACCTTTGCGCCGCGCCAAAAATGCATACAAAATTCATAATCGGCGCACTAGACAAATTCGGTTGGCATAGTTTCGCGAAAATTTCTCTTAAGGCATTGGAGTAGTTATAGTGTAATAGACCCGGAAGTTCCAGCTTGAGGAAGCTACATTAACAAAGCTGGTGGAAACAGGCTATGCCCTCGTCATTTGAAAGTTATAATGCGCAAGGGCGTGAGAAAGCATTATGAGAGACATTCGAGCTATACTTCGTTTAGGTTGGGCGAGCACCAAAATGTCTACGATAGCGTAAGGCCATTGAAGAGGCTCGTCACGTTATTATAGCTGCATCGCCGTTCCAGCTAGGAAAGCAGTCTCATTAGGTTGCTAAAAGTATAAATGGTTGAAGTTGTCAGAGGCGACATTTTTGCAATTGAACTTTTTGCTAAACTACTCAAAGACAATTGGCGCGATGAATTCCCAAGACCTGTGATAAATACGCCTACTAAGACAGAATTTGGCGCTCCTGAGCAAGAGCTGCGCGGCGCCTCTACCGAGGAAGGTACCCTTATAGCGCCCTATCAAGCTGCAACATACCAACGGACGCCGTACCTGACGTATGTTACCGTATCTACCGTAGCGGTTATTGGCACGATCTCAAGAAAACTCTTCTAATTTCCGAGTCGGGTAGGACAAAAGCTTTTTGCAAATCTTAACTATTTTTCTTCGCCTTTTTAGCCTTTTCCCCCACTATATAGCACCTCTGCGACCATTTTACACCAGAAACCAGACTATCGTGCCTTATGCCTTTAACAGTGCAGTGAAATTGCTGGCTCTGTCTGTTACACATTCCCTTTGATGGCCACTTGAACGACGGTCAGAGGCTGGAATTTTTACACACACTGTTACCCTGAACTGTTCCTTGTTATTCTACTGCAGTTCACATCGTCGCAACTAGTTGGGGCAGTTCAAGTACTTCAGGAGTTCAGCTCCACCTACCCTTATCGCTTCTGCTTTTTCAGGACACTCTGTATTACGTAAAAAGGAAGAATAAAAATAGCCTCCTATCCTTGGCTCCCTACAATAGGCCACTCGACCACGAACGAGCGCATAGCGGATCCTTCTAGGATAATGTGCCTACTTTCTACCCAGTATCGGGTAGCTCAAGATTGAGTCAGATCCTCAGAAGGATAGAAGAGATGGCTTGGCCCCCACGCCTCCCCTTACCTCCACCCGTATATGCTTGTAGTAGAGCCGGTGCTTCGTTACTTTTGTTAACATCGGTTTCTAATAGCAAGGAAATCAAGGATGTTGTCAATGAATACTACCTGTTCGTGCTCTGCATAGAAAAAAAGGCGAGTGCGGACGCGTATGCCATCATCGCAGCTTGCGCTGCACGGCGACCATTCACTCCAAGACGTTGTCCTACAAAGCGGATCTGGTGTCACAGAACAGTCTTCGCCAGATTCTCCTTAAACTAACACATCAACATTTTGACACGAGGAGATTGAATAGATTCTTCGCTCATTGTCATAGGTACTGTTCTATAGTAACACTAATGTATTAAGCCTCTCGCCGATCTTCTGCCATCCTTCATATCGGTGCCTGCTAGTGAAGATCGGCTTATTGTTGTCTTAGTGTATGAACATTCTGATATGCGTGTTCATCCGAAAACAGGGTAGGCTGAGTTTTTCCTGGGATATTTCTGTGCGAAACAACATATTGCTTTGTGAAGAGCAGGGATATGATCATAGTTGTCTCAAAGCGGAAATATCAAATAGCGTGCTTTAATGCTAACACGCGACGCACCCAAAACCAATCCAGCCGCACTACGTTTTCGAAAAAACAAGGTATTATTCCATTCGCTCTTGGCATTGTGTATATAAAAGAGGGAGGAGAGCCTTAAAACGCCCACTTTCAGAGATGGGTGGTGTATCAACAAGAAATTTTCTTCAGCGTGAGGCTTGAACCTTTCTGCGGAACAAAAGTGATTACCGCGCACCACGCTGAAATACAGATGCTATGAACGATGAAACACGATGAAACAGATGGTTTCACCATATCACAAATCATGAAAATTGTGGCGAGTATCACAAAAAGTTGAGAGGTTTTTCCATGAGTGACGACTTGCTCCCATTTCAGCCATAGATTTCATGTCCAGTATCGGAAACCTCGCTTCTCTGTTGCAGCTACATTGGCCGCTACGTTGACGATTGCCTCATAATATGCCATACTCGAAGGGAAATGGACATATGTTTCGCCCTTATGAATGAGCAGTCAATCAATGTCGAATTCACTAGAGGACAGCCCCAGGAGAACCAGCTTCCGTTCCCCAAAATCCATATCCCGCTGATGGTAAACATGGTCAGAACGAAATGGTACCGCAAGTCGAACAACAAGAACATACCTGTTCGGCACACCTGATAAGAACAAAGGAAGCAGTGTTAGCAGTATGTTCAGGACTGCCAGCAAGGTAACTCTCATATGAAGTGCCTCGTAACATTTCATTGTTCAACGGATACCCAGGGCACGGTCCAAAACATAGAGGGTCTTTACGACAGCGTCGAGTAATAGACATCGCATCCTCCGACAAAATACCATTCTGCTTTCCGTTCATGACAAAGGGAGCCGCGCAAATCTGCGCAAGTGAGGATTGCAGGAGGATGTTATGGTGATATGACCTAAAAACAACATGAAATGTCTACTCCCTTGAACCGGCTTTACGACTACTTCTGCGAGAGCCCAGCCTGCGTAATTTGCCCTTTCGGTTCGCTAAAAGAGCACTTGGTTGGGTTGCGAAGAGTACTAAACCGTACGCAGCGGTGAACCCATCGAATTCCATGTCATAGGAATGCCGTTCGAGGCATCTGTGTCTATCTAGGCGCACAAAACGTTAGAGGCATTTTGGATCACATCAAGACCCAAAAATGAACCAGGGAGGAGCCACAATTAGAAGCCTTGCCTCGTTTGCCGACCTTTGCGGATGATCATACACATCAAGTGGGTGATAAGTGGTCGTTGAGTTCATTTCGACGTATAATCAAGCAGGACTGGTCGCTACCTCAAAGTGAACTAGTTTGAATATAATTCGATTTTGCTAGTTGATTGTGTCTGGTTTTGTCTCCACCCTTGTTGAGCCTTCGGAAGGGACAGATCATACATGTTTCGTGATTGGGCTGCATTCATACTTTGCGGCAGCGTATGCCAGCACACGCTAGCGTTTCCAGCGTTCAGCAGCGGCAGTGGCAAGGAAAGCATAGATATCGATCCAGCGTATGCCAGTGCCACCAGCGTCCGCTAGCGTAACCTTAGCGTCTGGCATTACGCTAGAGTATTCCAGCGTTACGCTAGCGCACGCTAGCGTAGCGAGGGCAAGGAAAACATAGGGATCGATCTAACGTTTCTAGCGTTTCACTAGCATTCGCAGCGTTTCACTAGCGTTTGCAGCGGTGGAGAGTAGAGACTATGGGAGAGTAGGAGAAGGAAACAGCTTGACTATTAGGTCATCCCATTCAAAGTGGCCGACACATATAGAGGAATAGCAGAAAAGCAAAGGGGATAGAGCAGCGGGCTACTGTACCATCTGGAAGCTAGTACCTTAAGCTGCGTATCTGTGAAATTTGGCGAACCTAGCCTCTGAAGAAGTTCTCGAGAAATTGAAGAGACGCGAGTGGTGAAATTCGGCGCCGTTTTTCAAATACATACTCATAAAGGAAAGTTGCGCTATTCAAATTTGACCTGCGCCGGACCATAGTGTGTGTAAGGCGTGTTCTTCGAAATACACAGTGGAAGATCTGGTTTCAGGAGCCCGTACAAGGAAGAAAGAAAAAAAATTGTTGTCGTGGGTGGTCCCATAATATTTCATCCTTCACAAGAAAAACGGGTGATGAAGTCAGGCACTGAATATCTGTCACAGAGCCTGGACCTTGTCGCAGCTTTCCCCGCGGTCTGACATCCGCTAGACCGTGCAAGATGAAATATGGGTGGGACGTCGAGTCGAAACCTCACAATCGTCATTTTCTAATGATGCAGATGAGAAGCCGCCCGAGTTCTACATGAAGCGTTAAGTGGCGCAAGTGGATTGATCATCAAGCAAAGGAATTCCACACTGTGGCTTTCAGCGGTCTCTATACAGAGAACAAATCCCGTCACTGCAGTGCACATTCCTGTTCCTCGCATTCAGATCGACAATAGATGCTGCACCAACATACAAGAAGGCACCGTTGGCTCGTCATGGTGCAGACACCGAGTAACTGTAATTGTAGATCAAGTGCTGGGACACAAACATATAACTGAGATCCTGGGTTCAATCGTCCCAATTCGCGCCGTCATAAAAGCCATGCGATTACAACTGTTCTCACTTCAGTAGAGAGTACTCTTCGACGGCAGACGCTACAATGTTTTGTCATTTATCCGAAATTGGCAACAACAGCAATTTACTCACACTTGTTGAAAAATCGAAGGTACCAGAGGTCCAAAGGCCCTCGGAGCAGTGGGAGCTGGTCATTGGTGAAGGATGGATTTACTCATCCTAAAGCTATAATATCACTTTTCTATCTATTCTCCTCTTTGTTTTATTTAAAAAAAAGCCATCGGCCACTTTGAATGGGATGACCTAATAGGTGTGCTGTGAAATGGCGGCGTTTGTAGCCGCCGCAGTACTAATACCGAACACTAAATTGGTTGAATTGCACCACGCATAAATGCAAAGCATGAACCGATCACTACCATCATCATTTCGATGAGCGTGGGACCATTTAGGATCTTTCATTAGAATGAGCATATGTAAGGCGTATATTCGACAAGAAACCATTCATACGAATTTCTAAAAGTTCCCAGAAAATAGAACAATCACCAACAGACTAGCCCCAGAAAAGGATATGGCACCTGCAAAAGTTAGCATTTTCCTAGTACATTCAATTCCGGTGCGACAGTGTAGAAAAAAACATTCCGTTCCAACAGCTAAACCACATAATTAGGCAATTTTACCAAGTTATTGTATGGTATCAGTGTTGCGGTACGGCTACACACGTCGCAATTTCACGGCAAACCTAGTCGAACTGTTCGCTACACTCCTACTGTCCCTTAGTCTCTAGCCCCCGTCGCTACAAAAGTGAAACACTGCAAAAGCTGGTGAAACGCTAGAAACGCTAAATCGATGCCTATACTTTCCTTGCCCCCGCTACGCTAGCGTAACGCTAGAATACGCTTGCGTTACGCTAGCGCACGTTGGTGACGCTGCCGAACGCGAGAAATAGCGCGAGCGGCGGCGTACGCTGCGGCAAAGTATGAACGCAGCCTTAAAGGCTCTGAGGAAGGCGAAGACGCCGAATCCTCAGCTGATTTTAAATAAACAAATAGTAGTCTTGGAATACTTTCATTTTATAAACCAGTAACTTTGTGTGTTGGTTTGTATGTACGTAAATATGTATGTAGTATGTATGTCCGTCCGTAAATTCTCCACGGGTTCGAACAGTTAGTGGAGGGAGAATACGACCGCTATACACTAGAAGATGGGTGTCCGCGTTTGGTGCAGATGTGTTAATCCAATGTTCTGGTAGTGATACAGCCTCCGCAATATATGACAACCATTTGGTACACTCCGAGCGACTCACGAGCTGCTCGCGTAGCAATTGGACGTGTGCACGTGCGGGGGCAGGGTGGGTGGAGGGGAAGTACCAAGTGACCCCCTCCCCTCTGCTTCCTTCCCTTGCACGTGCTCGACATGACCTGAGCACGCGCAGGGTTGGGGAACAGGGGGAAGATGTCGAGTGAAGAAGGTATGATGAGGGGGTACGTAGCGCACGAGTAGGAGCACATATCAAGATAGGAAGACACAATAGCAAAACTGCAAGCTATCCATAAGATACCAAATTATGATGTTGTTCTAATTGTGACGACTGGTCCACCATCACTGTATAAGACAGCCATTTGGTAATCTCCGAGCCAGTACATAAGCAGCTCGCGTGGCATCTGGACGTATTATCGCGCGTGGGTTGCTCCATCTATTGTGATTCGATCGAAATGCACAGTAAGCTAAGTAAATGAACAAATTACGTCTCCGTTATGAAATACGTCTGGCGAAGCCAAGCTAGCTGATGGTAAGGTGAATGAGGAGAGCTCGGCGTCAGCAGCGCGATCCGAGTGGTATTCGAAAAAACACATTCATTTTATAGTTTGTTCGCAACGTTGGACATGGGTAGTGCGCATAAGTTTAGTGCTAGCTAGGTAAGCGTGCCCGGGAGGCGTTTTAACGATTACTTTTTACCGCGTGTGAAGAT